AAGTGAAGTAAATGTGTGTGTGTGTTACTGTGGAAAGATGTCCACAATATATTGTTATGTGACAAATGAAAGCACAGAATAGTATATACAGTAAGATTCTACATCTGTTAAGTTAAAAAAATAATAAAGGAAAAAAAATTGGGGCCCATACTACATTGTGTTTTAATTTGTATCTAGATAATTCCTGGGGAACCACACACCAAATAGGTCAGTGTTTCTCTGGGAAGTGGGTTCACGATGGGGGCATGGTGAGGAATTTTCACATTGTGTATTGCACCATTTTTGTACTGCTGATATTTTTATAGTAAGCATATATTATAAAATTTACTAAAAAGAGGAAGAAAAAAGAAGGAAAGTTGTAGGGAGAGGCTGATGAGTACGGCTGCAAGGGTATACAAGTTTTATTTATTTTATAGATTCTAATAATGATTGTCATGTATGAAAATCAAGAGATGTTGCCCTGGCAGTTTGGCTCAGCGGTTAGAGCGTCAGCCTGTGGTCCAGAGAGACCCGGCTTTGGTTCCTGCTAAGGGCACGTACCTCGGTTGCAGTTTGTCCCCCACCCTGGTTGGTCGCGCAGGTGGCAGCCACTCGATGTGTCTCTTTCACGTCGATGTTTCTCTCTCTCTCTTCCTCTCCCTCCCTCCCACTCTATCTGAACAAAAAATGGAAAAATGTCCTCGGGTGAGGATAAAAAAAAGAAAAACAAGAGGTGTCACAAAATGGTGACTCTGGAAGACTGTGCTCATTTCTAAAAGGTTCTGTTTACTTCTTCCTTGAGTCACTTGGATCTTCTGATCTTTGGGGGATCTGGAATGGGATTGTAATAGATGCTTGAGGTTAGAGCTAAATCACTATTCATCCTATCTTTGCTGTTCAGCAAATGGAAAGGGCTGGAGATGAAAGGCCATTGAGTGGCTGGAGTGGAGGACGGCTGAGAGCGCCCAGCCTTGGTTCCTGGCAGCCACTGCTGGCCGAGGGCTCCGGAGCAATTCAAGCCGTGTCCTGCTTTGCCGTCCACAGAGGGAAGGGGCGGCCATGCCTTACTGCCCTCCTCGGGTGTAATTACTGCAAACATGTTGAGATCCTCATGGGCAGCAATTCAATTCGAAGGGTTTCTGTCAAAAATCTTGTTATATGTAAGCCAGCCTTAAAATTTTCACAAGGAAACAAGTTCTCACTTGGATGTACATTGATTCCATTGCTTTTCTATGCTGAGTTTTTATGTTTAATTATTTTCTATCTGTGAAATGTGATTTTATGTATTTAGTACAATTTAGATATTTGTAACAGAACTGCCAGTCTGCATTTCTAATATGGAGGCTTTAAAAGTAAATCCTCATGTTCTTTTGATGCTCAGTTTATGTACTGACTTGCTGGGATAATTTGGTGAGATCCAAATTCTGCCCCCATTCTGTTCCTCTCTCCTGTCTTACACTGTCAGCGACTTTCCCCTATTTTCCCACAATCCCTTACTCTTTTCCTCCTTGATGTTTTAATGTCTCCCCACCCCCTCCACCCTCAGTGACGCGTGTATCCCCTGCCCTCCCTTCCAGTTCCTGGCCAGACCAATGGTGAAGGCAGTGCTCACAGGAAAGGTTCAAGGAGCAGGTGACATTGTGGCGTATTGTCTAAGAAAGGGAGCAAAAGCCTTAAAACCGACCTCAGTTTCTCCCTTTTGGAGGACCGTCCTGACACCCTCCGGAATCCCACTTGACCCCAGCAGGGAGCAGGGAGATGTGCTGGGAAGAGGCCCTTCTCTGCTTTTGTTGTGGGCTCTGCTTGGCATGGATGGGAAATATCTCTGAAATTGTTTCTTTCTCCCACAGTACTCAGGGCTTGCCTCTCTTAGATCAAGTTAACAACAATAAAGTCAAAAGTAGCACAGTTAACAATTTTACCATCAACTAATCCAGGAGCCAAAGGAAACAGGGAAACCTCTTCAAAAACCAGATATTTTTTAGCTGTAAGAGTGAAGCATGTTGATGCTCGTTGGTCAGTTTGATGTTGGTAATTAACAGTTACCATTCAGTTTGGCAAGAAACAGTTTTGGAGTGATCCTTTATCACATGTGTTAGACACTGACATGAAGAGGGAAAGCAGAAGCCAGGAAGCCATGGCCCACAAGCGTGGCCCAGTGAGGTCAGCCCTTGTGGTTTTATAAGCAGCTCCAAGCGTCAGATTCTGGGCCAGAGCCGGGCTGGAGCTGGCTGCCAGCTAGCATGGCGCAACCCCACATGAGTCCCCAGCTTTCTGATGTGTCCGAGGTTTGGAGGAGAAGCGGTCTAGCCCCTAAAGTCTGGCTCCACCAGTGCACCCTTAGCTAGGTGATTCTGGTTTCTCGTTTTTTACTACTTAGTCTACCTCTTATAATTACCGAAATGTTTAGTAATACCTTTATTGAATAACTTTCAGTTGGTTTGTATATATAAAATGGTTAATGATGTAACAAGTTTGCATCATTAAAGATTTATTTAATCAAAGGGCAAAGTTTTAAGTAGTTCACTCCTCTAACACTTGTTTGTTGTTGTTAATCCTCACCCCGGGATATTTTTCCATTGATTTTTAGATAGAGTGAAAGGGAGTGAGGCAGTTAGAAAGAGAGAGAAACATCAATGTGAGAGAGACACATTGATTGGTTGCCTCCCACATGACCCTGACTGATCCTGGGGATTGAACCTGCAACCCAGGTACATACCCTTGGCCAGGAATCAAACCGATGGCCCTTTGGTCCGAGGGCTGACTCTCTTAACTGCTGAGCCAAACTGGCTGGGGCCCTCTAACACTTTTTTTTTTTTTAATTTTTTTTTTTTAATCCTCATCTGAGGACATTTTTCCATTTTTTGTACAGAGTGGGAGGGAGAGAAAGGAAGAGAGAGAGAGGGAAACATCGATGTGAAAGGGACACATCGAGTGGCTGCCACCCACACGACCAACCAGGGCCGGGGACAAACTGCAACCTCCTCTAACACTTTTTTAAAACTTTTAAACAATTTACAAAAGTGCAGTTCATTATGTATTTTCAGATTTAGTAGTACGCATGGATATGTAGTAAGGAGTGAAAGCTACCTCCAATTTCCCATCTCTCCAAAGGAGTAACCATGTGTCTTTCCAGAACTTTTGCTATATATTCACGTACATGGTAGGAGTCATTGTGGGGTTGTTATCTTTTTAAAACCTAAATTGGGTCATGCTGTGCATACTGCTACCCACCCAGCCTTCTTACTTAACTAGACCTTGAGCCTCTTTCCTTTTCAGTGCATAGAGATCCACCTCATTTTTATGATTGAAAACTATAATTATTTTACATTTCCATAATGACACATATATTTGTTGTCTTATTAATTCTTGCTCTTACGCTCAGTGCTATCGTGGGTATTTCTTTTTTTTTTATCCTTACCCAAGGACATTTTTCCATTTTTTGTTCAGATAGAGTGGGAGGGAGAGAGAGGGAGAGAGAGAGAAACATCGACGTGAAAGGGACACATTGAGTGGCTGCCACCCGCACAACCCAACCAGGGCCGGGGACAAACTGCAACTGAGGTACGTGCCCTTAGCGGGAACCAAACCCGGGTCTCTCTGGACCTCAGGCCAATGCTCTAGCCGCTGAGCCAAACCAGCCAGGGCTATTGTGGGTATTTCTGTATGCCTTGCGTGTGTCCCTGTGCAAGCACGCATGTTTGAGTTGTACCCTGTGAATGTGTGTGAAATATGCCTGTTGCTACCAGTGACAGAGGACGTGAAGAGTTCAGAGTGATGAGCTCTGCAGACATTATAGCGCTAGGTTCCTACACCATGTGCACTGCTGCCCTTTTATTGCCCAATGTAATTGCATCTTTGTGTGCATTATCAAATTTTTAATGACAAGTTTTCGGCATTGTAATCCCATGAGTTGACATTGTAAGGAAGAGTTAAGTTTAAGGTCAAGATCCATTTATTTATTTATTTATTTATTTATTTATTTATTTATTTATTATAATTCTCACCCGAGGACACTTTTTTGCATTTATCTTCAGGTAGAACAAGAGGGAGAGAGAGAGAGAAACATCGACGTGAGAGAGACACATCAAGTGGCTGCCACCCACACGACCCCAACCGGGGCCGGGGCCAAACTGCAGCCGAGGTACGTGCCCTTAGCAGGAACCGAACCCGGATCTCTCTGGTCTGTGGGCTGATGCTCGAACCGCTGAGCCAAACCAGCCAGGGCAGGTCAAGATCCTTTTAAAACTCTTATTCCTCAGCTGATTTTTTAAAAGGTTCATGTAGGTGGTCAGAGTGTCATGTCCATTTAAAGCAGGGATGCTGACCAGTGAGAAGCCGAGAGGCCGCCAGCAGCGGCTCTGTGCAGCGTCCAGCCCTCAGCCTCTCACCAGAGGGGCTGGCTGATAGGACACGGGGTGGCCGACTCCTTTCTAGGCACGTTTGTCCACTCGGAAATTTAGATATTGAGATAAGATATAAATGGCTTTATTGCCGCCCTGGCTGGTTTGGCTCAGCGGTTGGAGCTGGAGCGTCCGGAGAGACCTGGGTTCGGTTCCCGCTAAGGGCACGTACCTCGGTTGCAGTTTGTCCCCGGCCCTGGTTGGTCGTGCGGGTGGCAGCCACTCGATGTGTCCCTTCACGTCGATGTTTCTCTCTCTCTCTCTCTCCCTCTCTCTCCCTCCCGCTCTATCTTAACAAAAAATGGAAAAATGTCCTCAGGTGAGGATAAAAAAAAAAAAAAAGGCTTTATTGCCAAGCTAACACGCTGCATGTGCCAAATTGGTAAAATTTTAATCATCAGGTTACTGACCAGATTAACCTCATATTCACAAGGTGAAGTGTGTCTTCAACACACGGCTTTCTGTCTCAAAAAGTATAGCACTTTTTTTTTTGGTTGAAAGTTTTATTAAATACAAAATGCAGGTGATTGGTTTGGCCCCAGGGGAATGGAAAGTGTATTCTATGAGGCTTGACCTTTCAGAAAGTGCCGCTGAGACCGCTGTCGTTCTGTTCCTCAGTGCTCGGGCTGGTCCTCCCCATGTGGGCGATAGCGCTCATCTCCTTCGGCGTGGCGCTGCTGTTCGCCATTTTTGTGTGGCTCTTTGTGTGTCCATGGATGCGGAGGAAAATAGCAGGTAAGCGTTCTTTTATTCCTCTGATTTACAAAAGTGCTCCTGATTCCTGAGACTTCCGATGTAAAGCACGACTCTCCTTACCAGCAGAGGGGAATGGCAGCATGGGTAACTCTGGAACATACACTGAGACACATGCCCAGGCCTTGTCTCTCGCTTCCTGACTGCTTTCCGGCTCACACGTTTGTTGATGACTTGTGACCCAGGGGAGCAGTAAGGCCCTGGTTGCCACAGATAACTGGAACTTAACTCTGCAGTTAAGTTCTACCAGCCTGATGAAAAACACTAGTCATCTGGGAAATGCGACTTTACTTCACACCCGCGAGAACAGCTCAAAGTAAAAAGACCAGCAATATCAAGTGTTGGTGAAGAAGTGGAATAAATTTATGGTGAAATGTAAAGTGGTGCAGCCACTTTGGAAATTAGTTTAGCAGTTTCCTATAAAGTATACACTTACCATAGGACCCAGTAATTCCACTCCCAGGTATTTATCCAAGAGCAATGAAAATGTGTGTTCAGGAAACAACCCAAATGCTTATTAACAGGTTAATTGATAACCAAACTGTGGTATATTCATACATCAGAAGACTACTGAGCAATACAGAATGAACTACCTACCACCGTAGGCACAACAGCAGAACAAATTTCACAGACCTTACATTGAACAGAAGAGTATACAGTGTATGATTCCAGGGAAAATGGCTGAATAGAAGTCACTGGTTGCTAAGGCTGGCTGGCAGTTGCTGGAGACGAGCTGCCGTTACTAGAGGGGACTTTGCAGGGACATGGAAATGTGCTCTGTTGTAACGGGGATGTGACCAGAGGGTGCATGGATGTTGTCACACGTCATCTACCTGAACATTTAAGAGGTATGAATTTTATTGTATGTAAGTTATACCTCAGTAAAAACAGGTTTTATAAAAAGAAGAAGAATATGGCTTAGAAAGCTGCTGGAACTATTTTTCTGTCCCTAGCAACATAATTCAATTCTGAGCTTTGAGGCCACGTGCTTACTGGACTCTCAAAAGAAAAGTTTTTACTTCTGGCCCCAGAGTGGACCTTATAATCATGTTTCAAGTTGGATATATCTGAATTTGAAAACCCATATTTCAAAGAAGACCTAAACAAGTGAGATATACCATGCTTATGAATTGGAAGACTCAGTATAGTAAATAAAGATGTCATTTCTTTTCAAATTGATCTATAGACTTAACACACTTTAAATAAAAATCCCAGCAGGATATTTTGTAGATTTAGACAAGCTGCTTTTAAAATGTATAATGAAAGGCAAAAAAACTAGAAGAGCCAGAACAATTTTGAAAAAGAATAAGTTGGAGGATTCATACTACTTGACTTTAAGACTCACTATAAAGCTATTAGACAGTGTGGTATTAGTGAACGGGTAGATATCTAGATTAATAAAACAGAACAGAGTCCAGAAATAGACACACAAATAGGACAAATTGATTTTCAACAAAGTACAAAGGCAGTTCAGTGGAGAAATAATAGTCTTTACAACAAATGGAACTGGAACAATTGACAGCCATATACCAAAAAAGAACCTGACCCAACCCTTACACCTTGTAAAAAAATTAACTCAAAATGCATCATAGATCTAAATATAAAATAGAAAACAGTAAGACTCTTAGGGGGAAAAATTGGGGAACTCTTGTGTGACCATGAGTTAAGAGTTTTAAAATATGACACCAAAAACATGACTCATCAAAGATGTTGGTAAATTGTACTTCATAAAATGAAAAATGATTGCTCTGTGGGAAACATTATTAAGAGAGTGAAAAGACAAGCTGTAGACTGGGAGAAAATGTTTGCAAACCACCTGACAAAGGACTTATATTCATAATATATAAAGAAATCTAAGGAAACAAGAGTGCTAGCAAGGTTTGAAAGGCTTTTTAAAAATCCCTTGTTTCTTTTGAAAGTAAGGGATTTTTAAGTAGGATCTCTCTGTTGGTTTTTTTGTTTGTTTGTTTGTTTGTTTGTTTTGAGAAAAATGATTTACTTGTTTCTTAATATTCAGTGACTTGAAGAAATCTGAGACCAATAATTTATTGAACAGAAGAAAACCAAACAGACTATAACAATATCTATGAAGACAAAAAAAGGATAAACATTTCAGTGATTCTGGGGTTAGTTTTAAGAAAACAGAAGGCCAGTCTAGATGGTTATAGAATTACAGAATGCTAGTCCTGCACAGGGACCCTGGGGATCAGATCTAACCCTGTTTTGCTGGTTTTAATGAGATAGTTCAGGCCCTATGTCCCCATCTTTTCTTCAGTAGCTGAATTTTCTGGCTTAAGTTTCCCAGATAATTGATTGAACTCTCCTTCATTGTGTCTATCTAGCTGTAACGTTTTTGTGTCATTTCCAAAGTAAGTACTAAAGTATAAAGATAAATATTCATTTTTTATGTTTAGTTTTCAATAACAAGAATTCTTCCAAAATTTTCAGCTATGACTATGTTTTCTTTAGGCAAATTACAAAAAGAAGGTGCTTTATCTCGAGTCTCTGATGAAAGCCTCAATAAGATTCAGGAAATGGAGTCCCCCGTGTTTAAAGAGCTCCCAGGTGCCAAGGCTAGTGACGACAGCACTGTCCCCCTCACGGGGTCGGCAGGGGAGACATCTATGGCCTCCGAAGGCATATCAGCGAGCAGCCACCCCCGGGCCGCCTATGGTAAGACCAAGTGGAGGGCTTGGGTTGGCATGGTGGCGGAGAGAGTTCCCAGGGGTAAGCAGCTGGGCTTGCATGTGGGCGATTAGGTTTCAATATACAAGTGTCCCCAGATTTATGTTTTGAGAAAACCCAGGGGCTCAAGGGGCTTTAGGAGACCAACCCTTCAATCAACAGAGCAGGATTACTCTTGTCCTGTGCTTTTCTTCCAAGAACTATTTATAGTGTCAGTGGAGCCAAGGGCACACACATGGTGCCGCTGTGCAGCTCGCTCAGCTGCGCCAGTGTCCTTCCTGTTGCAGTTACCTAACTGCTCCAGTCGGCTTCCCCAGCTTTATAAGGGTGCCTTCCTCGTGAAAGATGCAAAGAAAATGCGCAGATTGGAACCGAGGTGGTCTCCACCCTAGAAACACGGAAACCTCAGAAAACACCAAGACTGTTCTGGGGGTGTCCTTTTGTCCCATAACGTTTGTGGATGGTGATGGGTGAACACCAGGCCTGCCAGGGCAGCTTCCCACCTCCCTGCAAGGTGGGGCCCTGGCACCCACTCTCTGTAGGTGTGGTCTCAGATTTGGCCCAGAGAAAGCAAATTAATTTTGCCCCACAAATCTGACAGATACTGCCTTTGACAGTCATGATCAGCCTTTTAGGAGCCCCTAGGATATCTGTCTCATAGTAAGCTGGATTTTATCCCTTATGTATGACGCTTTCTAAATAAGTTTCTTATAAGGATTCTCCCTATATTGGTTACTAGAAACAGGAAAGAATGCTGTAGTAATTTCTGGAAGAACCTTTTTAGGAGAATTTAAATAATATCATTTATTTTATTATTATTGTTATTTTGTTATTCCTCACCTGAGGATATTTTTCTATTGATTCTTAGGGAGAGAGAGAAACATCAATGTGAGAGAGACTCATTGATTGGTTGCCTCCTGCATGGCCCCTAGGGCCAGGGGTCAAACCTGCAACCCAGGTATGTGCCCTTGACTGGGAATCGAACCCAAGACTATTCGGTCTGAGGGCTGACACTTTTAACGGCCGAGCCACACCCACCAGGGCTAAATAACATCATTTAAAAATGCCATATTATTAGTTTTACTCTTTTATAGTATGTTTCCAAGTTTCTTTTTTTTTTTTTTCATTTAACCACATTACATGTCCTTTATAGTTGATTTAGAAAATAAAGCATGTGAAAATAAATTTAGGTCACCCATAATCCAACCTTCCAGAGATTACCATCATGACACAGTGAGGAGTATTTCCTTCCAGACACAATTTCTATTCAAAAGGCTAGAAAGTAAGACTTGTCTCTGACCCTTGCAGGAAGGGCACTTTCCATGACCCATGGCTCCACGAAGTCCCCCCTCTCCAATGGCACGTTTGGCTTTGACGGCCACACGAGGAGCGATGGTCACGTGTACCACACGGTGCACAAAGACTCGGGGCTCTACAAAGACTTGCTGCACAGAATCCACACGGACAGGGGCTCTGACGAGAAGCCTGCCCCAGAGAACAACTATAGGTTCCTGCGACGCAATAACAGCTACACTTGCTACACGGCGGCCATTTGTGGAATGCCGGTCCACTCGACTTTCAAAGCTGCTGACTCGTCGCCTGCACCCGAGGACAGCGAAAAGCTGGTGGGTGACACAGTGTCCTATTCTAAAAAGAGACTTCGCTATGACAGCTACTCGAGCTACTGCAATGCAGTAGCTGAAGCTGAGATTGAGGCCGAGGAGGGCGGTGTGGAAATGAAGCTGGCATCTGCGCTGACAGAGCCTGACCAGCCTCGAGGGGACCCAGTGGAAGAAGAAAAAGAAGAGAAAGACACATCCGAGGTTCACCTCCTGTTCCATTTTCTACAAGTCCTTACTGCCTGTTTTGGATCCTTTGCACACGGTGGCAATGATGTGAGGTAAGGACATTCATTCGTTCAACAAGTATGTATTGAGGGTCTGCCATGTGCCAGGCAGTGCTCTGGGTGTCGGGATACAGCCACAAACAACACACAGAAATTCCTGTCAGTCATGGTGGGGGTGGCGCACAGATAGTAAACAGATAAATGAAGTAGCATGTGTAATAGGCTACCCAGTGAACATGTTAAAGGGAAAAGTAAACTGGAAGGGGGTTGGTCAGATAAGGGCTTGCTAAGTGAGACCTGAAAGGGTGAAGGGAGCCAGCCATGTGAGCATCTGCAGGAAGAGCATTTCAAGAAGAGGGAACAGCAGTTGCAAAGGCCTGAGGCAGGAATATGCCCAGTGTATTCTAGGGAGAGCAAGGAGGCCACAGAGGGAGAGTGTAGACTGTATGGTTAGCAGATCAGAGTCCCAGAATATGTAGGAAACGTGAGAATATGTAGAGTCTCTACTCTCTTTTTACTAGCTAGGTAGGTAGCAAGTGACAAGTCACTTGATTTTCCCAAAGCCTCAGTATCCCAATCTGTAAAATGGGGGTAAAAGTAGTACCAACCCCGTGAGGTTTTCATGAGGATTTAGCGAAATGCTTTATATAATGTGCTTAGAACAATGCTCCTCCCATAAGCAGCATCTATACATTTTTATTATTACTATTATTGTAATTATTATGCAGGGCTAATTTTCAAATTAGGAAAACATGCTATTGTTGCTTTTTTACTTTTTAATTTAATCCTTACCTGAGGGTATGTTTATTGATTTTAGAGAGGGAGGAAAGGAGAAAGAGAGAAACATCCATGAGAGGGAGAAATAACAATTAGTTGCCTCCTGTATGTGCCTAGACCAGGGATCAAACCCATAATCTAGGTATATGCCCCTGACCGGGATTCGAACCCGCACCTTTTCAGTGCACAGGACAACTCTCCAACCAACCAAGCCACCTGGTCAGGGCCTGTTGTTACATTTTTTATTGCCCAGTTATATGACTCTTCACTTCACAGCCTCAGGTTTCTATACCCTGCCTACCCACATGCAACTGCATTTCTACTCTTTTTAAAAAATGTCTCCACCAGACAAGAGGCCTGAACATTTTTGTTCTGCTCTTTTTAAAAAATGTCTCCACCAGACAAGAGGCCTGAACATTTTTGTTCTGCTCTGTGTTATATAGGTGCTGCTGTGGTATTTCAATAAGGCACCATGTTCTGTCCTATCCTAAAATTTTGACTGCTCTTCACCAGAGTCATCCCACTTCCTCTTCCTCCTCATCAAGCATTCTTTATTGAAGACCTGGTACTGATGAAGTGTTATGAATTGGATCTCTGTCCTTTGGGAATTTAAAATTCAGTTAGGGATATAAGAAATACATATTAATGGGAAAGTCAAAAACCACCCAAAACAGTATTTCAAGACCAAAGGAAGAGTGTAGCAGTAACTGCTAAGCTGACCAGAGTTTAGAGCATTTATAGTTTGGCAGTTGGCTTTGAGGCTTTGAAGAAGGGATATGGCCTGATAGAAGCAATGTCCTAGAAATATTTATATGACAGTGAAGAGGGGGCTTCTGTTCACTCAACAAAAGGTTATTAAGTTTATACCAGGCCTCAGTGCTGAATCATTTGTAACTTACTCAACTCCTCAAAACAGTCCTTGGAGGTCATCAGTGGTATTGATCAAAAAGAGGGACTCAGTCTCAGAAACATGACATTTCTTGCCCAGGATAACACAGCTAGAGAGAATTGGACCCGAGAGCCAGTCCTCTGGGACTCTCAGCCCACACTCTGTCCACAGAGTGCACCCTGGGATGGGAGGAGACTGGAGCTACAGAAGCTGTGAAGAGCCTGTGTGTGGTTCTACGTGTAAGGAACTTGGAAATTATCACTCTGTCCTAAAAACAAGTTAAAAACTGAACAGACTGAAAAATCAACAACTCTTTTTGGATCCAGAAGAGAGAGGAGGACACAGGGCAAATCCCAAGATTGGAAATACAGTCAAATACAGGGAGTCATGGAAGAGAAGCTCACAAGTGGACACTGCTGTGGGGACCAGTGCCCAGAAGGAAAGCTGAACTGTAATGATGAATTCTACAAGTCTGAGAGTTAAAGGCTCCAGGGGGCCCAGTGGTAGAAACAGTTTAAAAAAGAAGTATAACTGATACATGAAGAAAGGAGAGAAAATAGAATCATATAAAATGTTCAATTAAGACAAAATAGAACAAAGAACAAGGGCGACAAATAGAAAAGAGTAACAAATAGCCCTGGCCAGTTTGGCTCAGCGGTTAGAGCGTTGGCCTGCGGTCCGGAGAGACCCGGGTTCGGTTCCTGCTAAGGGCATGTGCCTCGGTTGCAGTTTGTCCCCGGCCCTGGTTGGTCGTGCGGGTGGCAGCCACTCGATGTGTCCCTTCACGTCGAGTTTCTCTCTCTCTCTCCCTCCCACTCTATCTGTACAAAAAATGGAAAAGTATCCTCGGGTGAGGATAAAAAAAAAAAAAGAGTAACAAATATGATAGATATTAATCCAGCTATGTCCAAATCACTTTGAACATCAGTAGTTTAAATATACCAGTTAAAAGAGAGATTGTCAGACTGGATCAAAAAACAAGACCCCTGCCCTGGCTGGTTTGGCTTAGCGGTTAGAGCGTTGGCCCGCGGACCAGAGAGTCCCGGGTTTGGTTCCCACTAAGGCCATGTAGCTCGGTTACAGTTTGTCACCATCCCCGGTTGGGGTCTTGTAGGTGGCAGCCACCTGATGCGTCTCTCTCACATTGATGTTTCTCTCTCTCTCTTCCTCCCATTCTCCCTCCCGTTCTATCTGAAGATAAATGCAAAAATGTCCTTGGATGAGGATTAAAAAAAAAAACAACAAGACCCAACTATCTGTTGCCTATAAGAAATCCATTTTAAATATAAAGACACATACTAATATCAGAAATGAAAGAGGGAGACATCATTATAGATCCTGTGGACATTAAAAAGATAAAGCAGTACTATCAATAACTCCATGCCCACAAATTTGATGACTTAGATGAAATTAGACCAATTTCTTGAATGAAACAATCTGCCAAAACTCACACAAGAGAAAGTAGACTATCTGAGTAGGCCTATATCTATTAACGAAACCGAATCAATAGTTAATAAACTTCTGAAATAGAAAGCACCAGGCCTAGATGGGTTCACTGGTGAATTCTACCAACATTTAAGAAATACGTATACCAATTCCCTACAGTCTTGTTCAGAGGATAGAAGCAGAGGGAATACTTTCTAACTCATTATCTGAGGCCAAAACCAGACAAAGACATTACAAGAGAACTATAGACCAATATCTCTCATGCACATAGATGTAGGAATCCTCAACAAAGTATTAGGATATTTAATTCAACAGTGTCATGATCAAGTGAAAGTTATCCCAGGTTGCAAGGCTGGTTCAACATTCAAAATTCAATTAATGTAATCCATTAAATATTTAAAAAGAAAAATCACACGATTATATCAGTAGATCCAGAAAAAGCATTTAACAAAATCTACTACCTCTTTTTAATTAAAAACAAAACAAAAACACTTCAGTAAACTAGAAATAGAGAGAACTGTTCTCAACTTGATAAAGAATATCTACAAAAAACCTGCAACTAACCTTATATTTAATGATGAGAAACTCAGCTTTCCCACTAAGATCAGGAGCAAAGCAAGGATGTCTCCTTTCATCACTCCTTTTCAACTTCATATTAAAGTTCTAGCTAATGCAATAGGACAAGAAAATAAAATAAAAGGTATACTGGTAGGGAAGAAAGAAATAAAATAGTCTTTGTTTGCAGATGACATGGTTGTCTATGTAGAAAATCTGAAAAGAATCAACAAAAACTTCTGAAACTAGTAAGCAATCATAGGAAAGTTGCAGGATATATGGTTAATATACAAAAATCAATTGCTTTCATACATACCAGCAATGAACACATGGAATTTAAAATTTAAAACACAATACTGCGTCTTTTCAGCCAGAACCACCATCTTCCAGTAATTTGCCAAAATGACTAACACAAAGGGAAAGAGGAGAGGTACCTGCTATATGTTCGTTAGGCCCTTTAGAAAACATGGAGTTGTTCCTTTGGTCACCCACATACATGCTAATCTATAAGAAGGGTGATATTGTAGACATCAAGGGAATGAGCACTGTCAAAAAGGCATGCCCCAGAAACATTACCGTGGGGAAACTGGAGGAGTCTACAAAGTCACCCAGCATGTGGTGGCATTGTTGTAAACAAACAGATCAAGGGCAAGATTATTGCCAAGAGAATTAATGTACATATTGAGCATATTAAGCACTCTAAGAGCCGAAATAGCTTCCTGAAACATGAAAGAAGATGATCAGATAAAGAAGGAGCCAAAGAAAAGGTAATTGGGTTCAAATGAAGCCCCAGCCTTCTCTACCCAGAGAAGCACACTTTGCGAGAACCAGTGGAAAGGAGCCAGAGCTATGGAATCCATTTCCTATGAATTTATAGCATGATAAGTGTAAAAAAAAAACAAAACAAAACAAAACAGAAAACCTGACCTCTATACTGATAAAAATGTTTCTCTTAATTGAGTAGAAGTGTGGTGTCCTCTCCCCCGAAAAAATATTTAAAGAAAACTTTGTATCCTGAAAAGCATATATCAATACTATGTACATTAGCTAAAAATGAAATACTTAGGTATAAATACTTAGGTATAAAATATATAAAGATCTATATGTGGAAAACTATGAAACTGACTAATAACATCAAAGAAAAACTAAATAAATGGAGAGATTTTACATGTTCAAAGATAGGAAGACTTGGCTGGAGCATTGTCCTGTACACCAAAGATAGGAAGGAAGACTCAGTGTTGTCAAGATGTCAATTCTTCCCATCTCAGGGATGTTGATAATGAGGGAGGCCATGCATGTGTGGGGGTAAGAGAGTATGTGGGAAATCTCGGCACCTTCCCTTCAGTTCTGTTGTGAACCTTAAATTGCTCTAAAGGAATGAGGTCTTAATTATAATTTTTTTTTTTTTTAAAAGGAAGCTGTAGCATCTCCCCAAAAAGTCAATATATGGCTGCCGAGGGCCTGAGTGATGGTAGCAGGTTAGGGGAAGGATGTGAGTACCTGAGTGGAACCTGAGCTCATGTCCCAATCTTACCGCCTGCTAGTGACATGGCTTTAGTGTTGGTTTCTTTGTCAGTGAAACAGGAGAGACAGTACATAGTTTGCAGGATGGATGTGAAAACTAGTGATTAGCAGTGTTTGTGATCCCACAGTGTGGGACCCGATGCTGCTGCCCAAAACTGGTAGCTGATCTTAGTAGCAGTGCTGCAGTGAAAATGGAAAGGAAGAGAAATAAGAACTTGATTTTTGTGTCTACTTCTTGTGCTTTTTCAGTACTTCTAAAATATTAATAAATCACATGCCCATTAAGATGGCTCCTATAAAAAGAAACAGACAATAACAAGTGTTGGCAAGGATGTGGAGAAATTGGGACTCTGCAGTTAGTGGCTCAACCTTTATGGAAAACAGTCTGGAGTTTCCTGAAAAAATTAAAAATAGAACTACTTTATGATCCAGCAATCCTACTTCTGGCTATTTACCCCAAAGAATTGAAAGTAGGGTCTCAAAGAGAGATTTGTACACCCACGTTCATTGCAACATTATTCATAATAGCCAACAGGTGGAAGCAACCCAAATGTCCATCAATGGGTGACTGGATAAAGATGTAATATATGCATACAGTGGAATATTCAACATTAAAAAGGAAGGACATTTTTAACTGATGCTACAGCGTGGATGAATCTTGAGGACATTATGCTATGTGAAATAAGTCAGGCTCAAAAGACAGATACTGTATAATTTCATTTATATGAGGTACCTAGAGTAGTCAAAATCACAGAAACAAAGTGGAATGGTGGTTACTGGGGCTGGGGCAGGGGGAAAGGGAGTTATTTAATGGCTACAGAATTTTAGATTTGCAGGATGAAAAAGTTCTGAAGATCTATTTCATAACAATGTGAATATACTTGACACTACTGAACTGTACACTTAAAAATTGCTAAAATGGTAAATTTCATGTTATTTTTCTTACCACAACAAAAAAAATTAATAAATCATTTTTATCACCACTAGATTATATATATATATATGTATATATATATATATACACATATATATATATATAATCTAGCCATAAATACAGTAAGAAGGGCTATTCTCAAGGCTAGAAGTCACCATATGTTGTATACAGAGCCATTTGTCTATACAATGTTTGTATAATTCATCTACTTTTTGTATTCTCCCAGTAATGCCATTGGTCCTCTGGTAGCTTTGTGGCTGATTTATGAACAAGGTGCAGTCCTACAAGAAGCAGCTACTCCCGTCTGGCTGCTGTTTTATGGAGGAGTTGGAATTTGCACAGGGCTCTGGGTTTGGGGACGAAGAGTGATCCAGACCATGGGGAAAGACCTCACTCCAATCACACCATCCAGGTAAGCCAGGGGCACCGGCTGGATGGCAGGGCATGTCCTGGAGGCCTGCACAGAGCTGATGTGTCTGAAAGTCCCCTTGTGCTGCCTGTATGCCCCACCCCTCAGCACAGTCCCCCTGCAGCTGGGAGTGGCAGTGAGCGGGGGAGGCGGGGGCGAAGGGTAAGCAGTCCCCACCTTTGCTGCCCACCCATCACTGCCTCCCTCAGGCACTCTTGGCCCTCATCCACAGTGGCACTGAGATGAGGGAGAGAAAACGAGAGGAGTCGGAAGGTGGAAGGAAGGAGAAGCTGAAGCAGAGCAGGAGGGAAGAGAAAAGGAAGCAGCCAGAGCCCCATCTTCTCCCACTGGTGGTCTTGCCCAGTGTGAGCTCTGGAGACAGGGACAGGGGGTGCAAACCGCACCCATGGCCTAGGGCCTGCCTTTTCCCAAAATTCTCTGCCACACCAGCTCCACCTACTGGATGGAAACAGCGCTCACCTGCCAGCCCTTCTGAGGTCACTTTGTGGGTCCTTCCTGTGGCGCCTCTGCCCTCAAAGGTGGGGTCTGAAGGCTCAGGGGTTTCTCTGTAGTCCTATTGTCCTTTTCACTAATCTTCAGCTAGATTAGGGATTAAATAACAAACTCACAGGGGAACTTTAGAAGGATACAACTAAAACTTGGAACTACGTTTAAAATTAATTTCCTCTTTTATAAGATTGACTTCAAGAAAAATTAGTCATCTGAGAAAAATACATTTTGGGGATAATAAGTACACATTTTTAAAATGAGAATATAGCTTTTTGTTCAAGGTTTTAGAAATGACTAAGTGACCATTTTTCACACAGCAGGAATTTCTGACCCAGTTACTATAGTGTGTGGGTTTTAAAAACATACCAGAAAAACAAGGCTATTTGGAGCTGTAAACAGTGTAACGCAGAGCCTTAGTGTGAACGTTGCCATTATATAGCAGTTTCTAGTTCTATTAATGTCATCTGGCCCAGTCAGGAGTTGACAGTCGATTCAAAGAGTGTTCTGGTGAGACTTTGGCTCCCCTGGAGTGTCAGTGAGGCTGATACAAAGAGCGCCTGTGATGTGTCTCCTGTCTCCCTCCCACAGCGGCTTCACCATTGAACTGGCCTCAGCATTCACAGTGGTGATCGCCTCCAACGTGGGGCTTCCTGTCAGCACCACTCACTGCAAGGTAGGCGCCCCCAGCGCAGTCCTTCAGGCCGCTGGCATCAGTCCATGGTCACCCAGTGAATCTGAGAAAAGCTGGTTGCGCTTTGTATATTGTTGGTGAAAAAAACCATCTCAAGGTTTGCTGGATGTGCTCGAGCACTGTTGGATGTGGGGGCGTTTGCTTTTCTCAGACTGTCCCTCTCGACTTTCCTGCTCAGCAGTGTGACACCCTCGGTCGTGCAGACTTTGCCTTTTCAATGCATGCCTGGCAGGAGCTTTCCCTCCTTCGATGTGTGCTTCACACTGTGCATTTGTCCTGTTTCTCTCTCATTGTTTCCACAGTGGATTTTGCATTGAAGTCATGTGTGCGCTAACCATATTCGTAGGCTCAATGGGGGCATGCCACTCAGTTCCAACCCATTGCAGGGGACTGGGAGTTGACAGTGGAACTAGAGATAAGCAGAGATCATCTCAATGGACTTGTAAGACACAGTTGTTTCAGTTCTTTTTCCTTATATGATGGTCAAAGTGACTGTATTACCTTAGAGTAAATTCCGGAGGAGGAGTAATGCTTAATGTTGCTCACTGCCAAGTGCTTGAAAACTCCGGGCTGTGCAAGAGGGAATTCCTTGCTACAGGGGTAGAATGTTGGAGCTGTAAGGGACCTTGAAGATTAATGAGGAGGAGATGGGCTCCGTGAGTTTCAGCGAGTTACCTGAGGTCACTCAGAAAGGAGCCAGGACTAGAACCCAGGTCTGATAACCTGGAAAATTCTAAAACACTTTCATTGGGCCTGTAGACAAAAACATTCCCTAACTTCAACAAAGCAAAAGTCACCTCCAGATTTTTCCTAGGTTCATTTGTTTGTGTCATTCAAGAAAAACTTATTTGTACCTGCTGTGTGTGAGGTCCTGCTCTAGGCAGCAGCGACCAAGATGCCCATGTACATTTGCACACAGTCTAAAACTCCAGCGGGTGTGTTTACAGACAGCTGACAATGGCTGAGCAGCTCGGACACAAGGCCGGGCAGCGTCTATGGGAGTCTCTCCCGTGGGCAGCTGACCAGACGGGAGCCCACAGCGTGGAGGAGCAGCCTTATGGGAGAGGGCTTTTTGTTTTCTTGTTTCTTCTTTATTTGCTACAGAATATAGAACAAATTCAATTTTCACACATTTCCATTATAAAAATTACTTCCATTTACTGAATATATACAGAGAGCCAGGCACTGTTTAGTGCTTTATACAAGGGTGGGCAAAAGTAGGTTACATTATCAGCCATCATTACCTAAAAGATAAATCATAAGTAAGGATACAAAATAATAACTAATAATAATAGGACAAGTAATATAAATAAATCATACAATAATTCATAAATAAATAATAATACAAGAATGAGCTCTGTGTTTCCCGTACTCAAAACTGTAAACCAACTTTTGCTCACTCCTGTACTTGTAAAATGTTTTTTAATCCTCACAGCAACCCTTTGAAATGGGTACTGGTATTCCCGATTTACAGGTAAGAAAACTGAGGCTTCCAGAGTTAAGTCAGTTTCCCAGGGTCACACATTTAATGTGTGCTGGCACTGTTCAGACCTCGCCTGGTGCCCTGTGCCCCCTAATCGTCATGGTAACCAACCACAGCTGAGAGATGTGGGGCAAGTGCTGTCTGCTGGGCCCTGTTTTAAGTGCCCTGCGAATAATTAACTTGTTTATTCCTCCCCAAACCCTTTTGAGATTAGTGCAAGTGATACCGTTTTCCCAGTGAGGACACTGACGCATAAAAAAGTTAACTCACTTGTCCATTCTGATGACACAACTAGCGAGTGGCCAGCCGAGGTCCAACCTGGGCAGTGCGGCCCAGAGCCCTGCCCTTCAGCACCCTGCCCTCCAGCACCCTGCCCTCCAGCACCCTTCTCTCCAGCACCCTGCCCTCTAGCGCCCTGCCCTCCAGCACCCTTCTCTCCAGCACCCTTCTCTCCAGCACCCTGCCCTCCAGCACCCTGCCCTCCAGCACCCTTCTCTCCAGCACCCTGCCCTCCAGCACCCTTCTCTCCAGCACCCTGCCCTCCAGCACCCTTCTCTCCAGCGCCCTGCCCTCCAGCGCCCTGCTCCCCAGCGCCCTGCCCCCCAGCGCCCTGCCCCCCAGCGCCCTGCCCTCCAGCGCCCTGCTCCCCAGCGCCCTGCTCCCCAGCGCCCTGCCCTCCAGCACCCTGCTCCCCAGCACCCTGCCCTCCAGCACCCTGCCCTCCAGCACCCTGCCCACGCAGCTCTCAAGTACAAAGAAGGAAGGCAGGAAAAGGACGGTGGTGCCTCCTGCCATTCTTCTACCACTGTTATTTTTCTAATTTCGGTTATTTAAGAATTACAAAGAGCACATGCTCACTGAAATATGTCAAAAATACTGTATGGGACGAAAAGTGATCATCTTCCCCTTCCTCCACCTCAGCTTCAGTTTACTGTGACATGTGGGAGCTTAGAGGACATGCATGTTACTCAGTATATTCCTTCCCAAGGAAATAGGGTTTGAACCTTTCTGTAGGCATAAATAGTCTTTTGGGCCGCTTGAAAATAAACATCACGCTGTCTTTTTAACGATTAACCCTGCACTTGAGCAAGCCTAGTGAAGGCAAACTGTTTCAAAGCAGTTGAAAAACCTCTAGAAAAAAAACAACACGTTTGGTTTTCCTAGGTTGTTATTGTTACTTACCAAACTCTACTTGTAAGCTAACCTGTACTGATGTATAGAGTGAAGTGTTATAACTGAGATTACTAATTTTGCTAATAACATTAAACTCTACAATACAATGTATGAAATACATGAAAAGTATAAAATGCCTATAAAAACTATATTCTTTTTTTTTTTTTATCCTCCCCGAGGACATTTTTCCACTTTTTTTTTTTTTTTTTTTATTCAGGTAGAGTGGGAGGGAGAGAGAGGAACAGAGAGAGAGAGAGAAACATCGATGTGAAGGGACACATCGAGTGGCTGCCACCCACACAACCGACCAGGGCCGGGGACAAACTGCAACCGAGGTACGTGCCCTTAGCGGGAACCGAACCCGGGTCTCTCAGGACCGCAGGCCGACGCTCTAACCGCTGAGCCAAACCGGCCAGGGCAAAAACTATATTCTTATATGGTTATCTTTAAATGTCATTTCCCCAGTATTTATATTTATACTTTAATAAGGAGGTGTTACTAATGGATTTATATCCATTTTGTAGTGGACCTTAGTGAATAAATGTGTATGTTATCACTACCCTAAAATAGCTGTACAAATCATATGATAGGTGTTGTTTCCTTAGAGCTGTTGATTAGTGTTAGAATAGTTTATTGGCATTTAAAACAAGTCTCCTTAACATGGGACCAGACTGGATGTCATCTGTCAAATAGACTTAAGACAGAGCTCCACTTGGATTCTAGTCCATTGTCCAGTGTTGTTGAAAATGAACTTCTGGACAAAGCCTGAGCTAGTTACTGAAACAGCTAAAAGCCTGAGTCCTGGCTCTTAAGAACTTGCAATGGACAAAGATGCTCATCAAAGTCCAGATAATATGAGTTCACAGTTGCCATCCCTCCATAATACTCACTCTATTATACCACGTGTCTTCTGCTTGTCACAGCCCCAGGTGGCCAGTGTGGGCTGAAATGTGAGAGACGTGGGATGGCATTAAGAATGAGGCCCTATGTGAGCGAAGCTGGGAATCTGGAAACACTCAGAGGGTGTTGATGTCCACATAAAATCATAACAATCCCAGCAGAGTTCCTGGAATAATTAGACTCTGGTTTGATTTTTCCTGCTCTGTTTCCTCTCCTTTTTGCTCGTTAGGTTTCTTGCTTAGAGCCACCTCCATTAGAAGGTGGTGGGCAAAAGTTGGGGACTTGGCAGGAAAAAGATGGAAACTATTGTGTAAAATGAACTTTTAGAATTTATCTGGGTAATTCTCATTTATTCATGTTCCCTTCTAAGTGTACCAATAATTAATACAGACAGTCCTTTGTGGACTCTTTAATAGAATTCAGAGTGGTGTTATCCAAAATGTTTTAATCCCATATTGGGTTGGTTTGGGATTATTCCTTTTGTGAATTATCCACATTGTTCATCTCTATTGATGACATAGATGATTACTAGCCTTTGGATTTGGAACAGTTTATAGGAAACATCACTGATTAAAAAATTGAGGATTCTAGCCTAGCCAGTGTAGCTCAGTGGATTAAGCATCATCCCAGGGACTGGAAGGTCCCAGTCTGATTCCCGGTCAGGGCACATGCCTGCGTTGCAGGCTCAGTCCCCAGTAGGGCATGTGCATCTCATTGATGTTTCTCTCTCTCTTAAAAAAAAATAAAAATAAAAACAGATTTTAAAAATTTAGGATTCTAATTTCTAATTTAATTTTCTAATTCTTGCTCTCTGGTTCCCCTACTTCTCAATAATTCTATTGCTGTCAGTGCCTGGTGATGGCCTTACGCTGGAAACACACTCAGCTTCCTAAGAGGGAAGTTCAGACACAAGGAAGAACACCTGTGTATGAAACATACTTTGGTATTGCCCGGGAAAGCTAGATTTTGTAAAGATGTCAGTTCTCCTCAAAAACAACAACCGAAATTTTCTTACAACTTTAAAAAATTAATTTAAATTTAATTGGGTAGGTTAAATTAGCAAGAACATAAAATGATCTCAAAAGTGATAAGGAGGGACTGGCCTTGCCAGGTAGAAAGTACATTAGAAGGAAGTAAGAGTTGAAGATAGATGGAGGTGAGGGAGGGGGAATTGTGTTCATGGGGACAGAGTTTGGGATGATGAAAAAATCTGGAGAGCCCTGGCTGTCCAATATTCAAGCTAAGGATAAATCACAGAAGAAAAGTGCAGCATATTTTATTGTATGAAATTAGAAAGCAAAATACTGGGTTGGGGAAATATTTGCATTAAATATCACAGAGTTAATATTCAATAAAGACCACACATAAATAAAAATAAGGGACACATTTAGATACCAATATGTAAAAGGGCAAAATACACGAAGACACCATTTTTATATGTAAAGACTAGAGGGAGTAAAATTAGATAAATAAACAAAAGTTCAGCCTTAGTCATAGTCAAAGATATGCTAATTATAGCACAGTAGCACATTGATTGGTTAGCAAAAAAAGAACAATGTACAGAATTGTGGTGGTATGCTAAAATTCACAGATTATGGATGACCTTGTATATTTACATCTGTTTATAAAACTATTTGGCTGTATATCTCAAGGTCCTAGGATGTATTAGAAGACAAAGAGGTCTTCCTCAAAGTAACATTCTATTTGATGCATGGGAAGACGTTGGTAAATCACCATTTTGCAGTCATCATCATAAAGATTGGATTGCTAAATCTTTAGCAGAAGGGGAGGAGGAAGTTGATGAGTAGCAGGATATTTTAATGGTATGAAAATGTTTCTGCCCTGGCCGGTTTGGCTTAGCAGTTAGAGCATTGGCCTGCGGACCAGAGAGTCCCAGATTCGATTCCAGCCAAGGGTACATACCTCAGTTGCGATTCGACCTCAGTTGCGATTCGTCCCTGGTCCCAGTTGGGGTCGTGTGTGTGGCAACCAGTCGATGTGTCTCTCTCACATCGATGTTTCTTTCTCTGTCTCTTCCCCCCTCTCGCCCTCCCGCTCTATTTGAAGATAAATGCAAATAATAATAAAATAAAATAAAAGCTATTTAAAAATATATATAAATTGTTTCTATATAAATTGTGACAAAATGTTAAAAATTGGTGAATTTTGGTGAAGGGTGTTTAGGAGTTCTTACAGTTTTTCTCTTAAATTTAAGATTATTTCAAGCTGTTTTTAAAATGCCCCCTTTCATGAATAATCCATTTCAGGGAATATTATTTTTTAAAGCCCAAATATAAGCTATATATGAGTGAAACTATTTTTGATAGGGAAATATTTGAAGCAAATTGGAAATGGTTAAATTTGGTACATCCACATAAAACATTTTACATGGTACATTCACCTGTAACTTTTTTTTAAAAAGTGATTTTTTTTTTTTAGAGAGAGGAAGGGAGAGAGAGAAACATTGATGTGAGAGAAACACCCATCGGCTGCTTCCTACATGCCCCCTTCTGGGGATCAAGCCCGAAACCTGGGCATGTGCCCTGACCGGGAATCAAACTGGGACCTCTCAGTCCATGGGATGACACTCAATCCACTGAGTCACATGGGCTGGGTCACCTGTACCATTTTACATGATACTCATAATGGGAAGATGCTTATAATGTTAATTTTTTAAAGAAAGGAAACAGCATACCCTATTATTTACTAATAAAGGTATATTTATAAAAAATACTAGAGCCCTGGCTGGTATGGTTCAGTGGTTAGAACATTGGCCCACACACTGAAGGGTTATGGGTTTGATTCCTGGTCAAGGGCATGTACCTGGGTTGCATGTTTGATCCCCGGTCCCAGTAGGGGTATGTGTGGGAAGAAACCTATCAATGTGTCTCTCTCACATCAATGTTTCTCTCTTCCTCTCTCCTCCTCCCTCCCTCCCCCCCTTCCACACTCTAAAAAAAATACCTTCAGGTGAGGATTAACATACTAGAAAGGAATTTATAAATATGATAGTAATTGGGTTCTTAGTAATTGTCCATTTCTCCTATTACATAAACTTGCTCTAATATTTTATTACCTTTATGCTTAAAAAAAGTGTTTTAAGAAAGGAAGAGGGGGTAGATAAAATAGAAACTTGAGTGTGTCCTCCATACTAAAGTAATCCAGAACTGATGTGCACTGCAGGGGGGCATGCTCTAGGGAGACTGTAAGTAACAAGAAGAATTTAATCTCAGAAGCTAGCATTTGCAGATTTGATGTCTTGAGTCGACAAAATGTCACGTTAACTGCCTTTAAACATGCTGCTATTTTTGGTGTTCCGGTTTGCTTCCATAAACAATTCAAAGTGTTAGATTTTTTCTGTGATTAGACCCAGTTTCTATTTGAATCTCCCTGGCCACTGCTGATTCTGAAGAATTTGAGGGTCAGTAGAAACAAGCCTATTTTATGGAGATCTTTAAGAGTCACCTTACAAGTGGCCAAGGGCACTTTGTTAATAAACTCTCTGAGCTTCCCCAGCGCCTGAGTGAGGCATGAGATGTAAAGGGAATGCACTTGCTTAGGATTTTTAGGATACTTAAAGTGTCTTTTTTTCCTTTTAGACTGTCAGCAAGCCATAAAATGAGTGCATTTAGAAAAGTATTTGAATCAGTATTAATATTCTGATTTTCAAGTATCTCTGTCATGCCTCTGTGAGGCATGATTGACACTTTAGATCCAATAATATTTATGCTCTATTTAATTTTTTTAAATTAGCTAAAGTGCAAGGACTGTGAGGCAGTTTGAGATAATGGAGAAAACCAGTTAATATCAAGAGGCCTGAGTTCTAGTCCTCAGTCTGCTGTGATTTACGGTACCTCCTGGTGCCCCTGAGCCCCTGGTTTCATATCCTCAGAGATCTTCTCCGGCTCCAACACTTTATGATGCTGTTATTCTGAGAGAAGGGTACATCATTGCCATTTCATTATGTAATTAAAGTAGGTTCACATACTGTAGTAAGCAATATCCTACATGGGAAATATTTAAAGCAGGGGCACTCATAGTTTATAAGGTATAGAAGCATAGAGAACAAATTAATTGGCTCAAGTTCCACTCAGATAGAGCAGAATATACAGGTTGAAAAGCACATCAGATCTATATACTGAACAGAATAATCCTAAAATAAGTATACCTAAAATCTAAACTGTTTTAGACACTCTTAGCATAAATTTTGGGAAAAGGATTGGTAACTTTATAATGTAACTTATTTGAGATGAGCTAGTTTACATTGGTTGAACTTGTGGGCATCTTTTAACTTTAAAATGTTTGTGCTCCTACAGGTAGGCTCCGTGGTGGCTGTGGGCTGGATCCGCTCCCGCAAGGCTGTGGACTGGCACCTCTTCCGGAACATCTTTGTGGCCTGGTTTGTGACTGTCCCCGTGGCTGGGGTATTCAGTGCTGCTGTCATGGCTCTCCTCATGTACGGGGTCCTTCCATTTGTGTGATTGGTCTTCTCCCAACCAGTAAACAAGGGAGAGTCTGGCGTGGGGATGTGTGGGAGGTGTGTGCCCATATCTCACACGTCCACGCGTCCTGCCCACGCACAGGCTGTCTCCCAACCAGCTTCTCCATGCCCCTTCAGATGGTTCCAGACCACACTGTTCCCCTAGGTGGTGGAGTCCTCCAGAGCTAACTTAACTACTGTACATAATAATGTGCATTAAACTGGTATTGTGGTGATATAACGTGGTGCAGTTACTTATATATTAATTATATATTGTATACATAGAATAAGTAGCATTATTTCAAATATATTCAAAATGGTAGTGGAGAAAATTGCCTAGAATTCAACATTCATCAATTCTTTGTACATAGTGTTTTCAGTGGCAAATTTTGAGAACCTTTTAAAAGGAAAGTGTAGATTGGAAAATGTTGTTTTTCCCATTTAATATACTGTAAGATAACTGAGATACAAGATGTATGATACAAATTTGGGAAAGTGTACGTATGTCAGTGCTATTGAATAATACTGGAACAGGAGTTCCCAAGTGCTTTCACTGAAGAGTTTGTTCATATACTGTGTATTATTATGTAATATATCATAATTGCTTCTGTAAATACTTAAAACTGTAATTTTTTAATGGTGTGTGCTTCCTAGCTTTTTTGATCAGAGAATTTTTGGAAAGTACCAAAGAAGCAGGGGAATAGTTTGCCAGTATTATATTTTCATATTGTTTGTCCCTCATTAATTCTGCCGTTAACCTGGGATGTAGCAAGACCGCCCTGCTCTGGCCTGCTCCGGAGCAGTGTGTGGGGAGGCACCAGCCCCGCCTGGCACGTCCCACTTACCCAGCACTGCTGCCGCGTGCCAGCGATCGGTCAGCCGTGCAGTGGCCGTCCATTCTTGTCAGTGTAGAGAATGTACAGAGGACGCGTACTCAAGCACTACATATCAAGTCCAGTTTTAATTTTCACTCCTGTATCTCCCCTGAAGCTGGAAGGAATTCTTGTCTCAAACATTGAGGCTAGTACTTCGATATTCTAGAAATTCAAGAGAGGGGAGGTTGAAATATCAGACAGTACACTGGATTTGAAGATTTCTTTGAGGCCTTCACTAAGCTGAGCATCTGATGCTCTACTGTAGTCCCATTGGATTCTTTGTTGATAGCGGGAGGGAGGAAGTATGACTAATGTTAGAGCCTGAAACTATGGAAATGCTGCTAAAATTTTTATATCGACAGACATTTTCTGGTACTTCATTGTGATTTTTCATTAATCAACCATATTAAATTTATAATAAAAAAATGCCTCTCAAGTTTTTTTCTGAATATCTATATACATTTTTTTGTCCAGTTTCCAAATAAACGCTATATAATTTGGTCACTTCTATTTTTCAAATACCTTTTTTCCCTTATTTTACTACTATTACATGTTTGTGCAGAAAATACACATGAGCTGGAAAAGGAAAGAATGACCCACACAGCTCAACATCCAGAAATCTGCACTGTTAACAAACAGACATTCATCCTTAGGAATGAACTATCTAATGAAAGGGTTTGCCACTCTAAAGTTGTCCAGATTTCAGGGCTGAGGACTTCGCTGGAAAATGCACATCCTTTCTTCTTGGCTTAAGCAGCCAGAAACAAAACAAAACAAAACATACCTTTCTTTGAAGCTTCAGAAGGAAACTCCTTCAGCCTCTGCAGGGGTCATAGCGCCGGTCCCTTCCCAAGCCAGGAAGATGACCGGGATGGGGAAACTGGCCAAGCGTTAAAAGTTCATCTCTACCCAGAAATGTGCCCTTTCCAATGTTTAAAATGGCATTTTAGGCCTTTCATTTATTCACTTATGATAAAACCATAGATTCAAGAACTTCCATTTCCTTCTACACTTGTTTATAAGAAAAATAACAGCACAACAACGACACACTGGCAAGCTGTGTCCTGAGGGAAGGGCTGGCTGCCCCTCCGCCCTGCACAGCCCCTGCAGCCAGGGTGGCAGAGGCAGAAGCCTGGGAAGCAAAGTGGGATAAAGGTCACACCCAAGCACCTAACCATGTCACCAGCAATGTGCAGAGAGAAATCTTGCCTAACGCACCCCTCCGCAGTCTGTGTCCCCACTTCCCCTCCCTCTGAGGGCAGGGAGGTGAGCTCAGGCAGAGGATGGGTTACCTTGCAGGGTTGGAGAGGCCTGTAGAAGGCTCCCTGCCTGGGCCACCTGAGTCTTTTCTCGGAGTTAATCAACCTCTTCCTCTAAAAATGCAAACACTCCTAGAAGAGAGTTAACTCCAGGATCCCTGGCATCTTACTGTGATTCTGTAACCAGATCACCCTGCTATGTACAGAGGGCTGTTTGGAGCCAAGAGGAATGCCCTGTAGACTGCTGCCTTCCCCATCTCTCGGCTCCTCTCAGAGTGGCAAAGTTTGCAAGGAGCACAGGCTGTCAAATGAAGCCTGAGCTCCAAAAACAATATTCTTCATTTTCTACTTTTCAAAAAGGACTGACATTTTGAGCAAGTATGTAAACGTATTTATTCATTTTCAACAAATTTTTAAAATAAGTCTTCCCTGTCTCCTCAGAATAAGCTGTAGAATAAAAATAAAAACCACTCAATGAAACAAAATGAAGGATAAAAATAATATGATCGTATCAATAGATGCAGAAAAAGCATTTGACAAAATCCAGCATCCATTTATGATAAAAAAAAAAATCTCAGCAAAGTGGGAATAGAGGGGCCTTACATAATAAAGGCCATATATAATAAACCCATAGCTAACATAATTCTCAATGGGGAAAAGCTAAATGTGTTTTCTTCAAGATCAGGAACAAGACAGGGATGTTCGCTGTCACCACTTATATTGGAAGTTCTAGCCATTGCAATAAAAAAAAAAAGCAAAAAGCATCCAAATTAGAAAGGAAGAAGTAAAATTCATTATTTGCAGATGACATGGTACTACATGTAAAGAACCCTAAAGATTCTACCAAAAAACGGCTAGAATTTCCCAGCTGGTATGGCTCAGTTGATTGAGTGCTGTCCCATGCACCAGGAAGTCACCTGTTCAATTCCCAGTCATGGCACTTGCTCAGGTTGCAGGCTCAATACCCAGTAGGGGACATGCAGGAAGCAGTTGATCGATGTTTCACTCTCACATCTATGTTTCTATCTATCTTTCTCCCTTCCTCTCTCTGAAATAAAAATAATAATAAAAAACTGCTAGAATTGATAAATGAATTGAGTAAAGTAGCAGGATACCAAATATTCAGGAATCAGTTACACTTTTATACACCAATAATGAACTATCAGAAAAATTAAGAAAAAAGTCCGGCCGGTGTGGCCCATGCACCAAGAGGTCACCAGTTCGATTCCCGGTCTGGACACATGCCCAGGTTGTGGGCCTGATCCCCAGAAGGGGGCATGCAGGAGACGGCCAATCCATGTTCTCATTGTTTCTCTCTCTCTCTCCCTGTCACTTCCAGTCTCTCTAGAATCAATAAAGGAAAAAAAAATTAAAAAGAAACAATCACGTTTATAACTGCAACAAAAGCACTAAAACACCTAGGAATAAATTTAACCAAGGAAGTAAAAGACCTGTACTTACAAAAGTATAAGGCACTAAAGAAAGGAATTGAAAACTTCCATTTGACCCAGTGATCCCACTTCTAGGAATATACCCTAAGAAGCCTGAAACACCAATCAGAAAGAATATATGTGCCCCTGTGTTTGTAGCAGCACTATTTACAATAGCTAAGATCTGGAAACAGCCCAAGTATCCATCAGTAGACAAATGGATAAAAAAGCTGTGGTACATATACACAATGGAGTACTACGCAGCTATAAGAAAGAAAGATCTCTTATCCTTTGAGACTACATGGAGGGACCTGGAAAGTAACATCCTAAGTGAAACAAGCCAAACAGAGAAAGACAAGTATCATATGATCTCACTTATTTGTGGAATATAATGAACATAACAGTCTGAGGAATGGGGTAGTCCCAGAGACGTGGAAGTGGGGTACAGACTGACAATCTCCAGAAGAGGGGGTGGTGGGGGAGAGATAAACCACAGAACTTATATGCATGTATGCATGAACAGTGGACATGGACAACAAACTGGGGACAGGGCAGGGAAGGGGGAAGGGGGAATCAGTGGGGTAAAAGGAGAAACATCTGTAACAATAATTAATTAATTAATTAATTAATTAATTTTAAAAAAAGGAATTGAAGATTCAAGTAAATTAAAGCATATACTGTGCTCATGGATAGGAAGAGTTAACATTGTTAAAATGTCCACACTATCCAAAGCAATCTATAGATTCAATGCAATCCCTATAAAAACACCAGTGGTATTTTTCACACAACTAGAATAATCCACAAATTTATATGAAACCACAAAAGACTCCAAATAGCCACAGCAATCTTGAGAAAGAAGGACAAAGGGATCATGCTACCTGTTATCAAACTTTACTACAAGGCTGCAGTAATTGAAACAGCATGGTACTGGCATAAAAAACAGACACATAGATCAATGGAACAGAATAGAGAGCCTAGAAATAAACCAACTCCTGTATGGTCAGTATATGACACAGGAGGGAAGAACATACAATGGGGGTAAAGACAGTCTATTAAATAAATAGTGTTAGGAATTTTGGACAGATATATGCAAAAATAAAAATAAAACTAGTAAAAATGGATTAAAGATTTAAATGTAAGACTCAAAACCATAAAACTAAAAGAAAACATAGGCAGTAAATACTCTAATATTTCTCTTAGCAATATTTTTTTTCTGCTATATCTTCCTGGGCAAGAGAAACAAAAAATAAACAAACAAATGGGACTATATCAAACTAAAAAGTTTTTGCACAGCAAAGGAAACCCATCAACAAAACGAAAAGACAACCCACTGAATGGAAGAAGATATTTGCCAATGATACATCTGATAAGAGGTTAATATCCAAAACGTATTAAAAAAACTCATACAAGAACATATATGCGTATATGCATAACCAATGGACACAGACAATAGTGTGGTGAAGACGGGGGAGGGCAGGAGTGGGAAAGGGGGGGTCAATGGGGGTGGAGAAATGAGGGACATCTGTAATACTTTCAACAATAAAGATAAAAAACTCATATAACTCAACATCAAAAACAATCCAATTTAAAAAATGGGCAGAGGACCTTAAAAGATACTTTTCTAAAGAGGACATACAGATTGTCAGTAGACTTATGAAAAGATGCTCAATGTCACTACTCATAGGAAAAATGCAAATTAAAGCCACAATGAGATTTCACGTCACACCTGTCAGAATGGCTATCATCAATAAATTAACAAGTGTTGGAGGATAGGTTGAAGAAAACCCTTGAACACTGCTGGTGGGAATGCATATTGGTGCAGCCACTATGGAAAACAGTATGGAGGATCCTCAAAAAATTAAAAATAAAACTACCTTATGACACAGCAATTCCACTTCTGGGTATATACCCAAACAAAATCCTAAAACACTAACTTGAAAATATACATGCACCCTTATGTTCTTTGCAGTGTTATTTACAATAACCAAGATATTGAAGCAACTCAAACCATCAATAAACAAGTGAATAAAAAAGTGGTGGTACATATATACAATGGAATATTACTTGGCCATAAAAAAGAATGAAATCTTTCCACTTGTGACAACATGGATGGACCTAAAGGGTATCATATTTTTTTTTTATCCTCACCCGAGGATATTTTTCCATTTTTTGTACAGATAGAATGGGAGGGAGAGAGAGGAAGGGGGAGAGAGTGAGAAACATCGACGTGAAGGGACACATCAAGTGGCTGCCACCCGCACGACCAACCAGGGCCGGGGACAAACTGCAACCGAAGTACATGCCCTTAGCGGGAACCGAACCCGGGTCTCTCTGGACCGCAGGCCGACACTCTAACCGCTGAGCCAAACTGGCCAGGGCAAGGGTATCATATTAAGTGAAAGAAGTCAGACCGAGAAAGACAAATACCGTATGATTTCACTTATATGTGGAATCTAAAGAACAAAATAAATGAACAAACAAAACAGACTCATAGATGCAGAGAACAAACTAATGGTTGCCAATGGCAGGGGGGGCTGGGTGAAAAAGGTGAAGGGATTAAGAAGTACAAACTGGTAGTTACAAAATAGTCACAGGGATGTAAAGTACAGCATAGGGAATAGAGTCAATAATATTATAATAACTGCATGGTGCCAGTTGGCACTTGAATTATCTGGGGGATCACTTCGTAAATTATACAGGGTGGG